ACACCCAAAAGTTTATTTAGTTTTTTCCAACCAGTCTTAGAACTGACGACCTTTTGATGATGAGAAAATTCTCAGTCAATTCTCTATGTCTGTGGTAATAACTAACACGCAAACCCATAGATACGCGGAATATTAGTGACATGCAGAACGTACGACATACTTTACACGCACGTCCGTATTAAGTAGATACTTTACCAATGTACCTACATCACATACGGTTCTGAAAACCCAATTCGAATGTAGCGTCTCCTCGGCACAACGCATTCATATTCGATGTTCTTCAATCGAATCCGAATACGTTTGCATCTTGAACACTATCGTCGGCCGTCGAAACAAACGAATAGAGAGCCGAACGATGTCAATTGGCCACCGAGTGTGTAAATCGAAGAGACCGATTTGGCAAAATAAACGATAACTGCCGTTACCTATCCCCCTGTCTCATGTTAAATTCATGCAACATTTCGTGCGAAAGGGCAATCTGCAACCCGTCCTTCTCCTCGCCGTGTCTCGCCACGTCGTCATCCAACATGTTAAGTGTTTAACCGCTCAATTTTAACGTCTTTTTTTGTCGTTATCCACACAAAAACCGGCTCCGTGCCCTATCGTTTTCAGCATAATTTGTCTGGTAAATTTCGCGTCGGCTTGCTTTAAATTCCAATCATGCTACCTACGTTTGGACGCAGTAAAAATGTTAAACTGCGGAAAATGCTGAGAAGAAAACACTTCCTACCATTTATTCTGACCATCTACCGAAAAACAAACACGCACATCCTACTCTTTTTTCGTCTCCTTTTTCTGATGCTTTTCGTATACGTCATACTTACTGAGGATTCACATGAAATCCAAATCAGACAGAAAGTTTAAAGTATATTCGATTCTCCAAACAATTAGATGATTGAATTTGAAATTCATTTACCTTCGCTATATGAAAGCATTTAAATAATTTTCCTATTAAAGGTACATGAGGGTTTTGAGTCCTTTTTGCAATAAGAACACGAAAATAACGTTAATGTCTCTAGCGAAGAACCGATTTATACGATATATTACTTCGTTTAGTTGTGTTTGCTCAGAACTCATTCGTAACATTTCAAACGGAATCTAATATTATTAATACTTGACCTTTTTACAAGAGTACAATGAAATCATTCTGGATCGGCGGTTTCCGTATAACAACTCAGAAAGATTTTTTTGCAACACTGCAATGCAACTAGAGAAATAAAGAACATTAATGACATTTCGATGGTGCGGACTTTGTATTTGATGTGCTACCTGTAACCCTGCGTAATTTTTTTCTCAGTATTGCTATGGAATGCGAATATCCTGGCACCAATAGTAAATAAATAGATTAATATACACTAAATTACCATCATAATCAAACCTAACCTATCAAATCGTTTTTTATTAACTGGCGAGAACTATCAGCTTCAGTCTGATTATACCATTTTGTGACATGTTTATTTGGGTAAAAATACAGAATCACAAAAAAGAATCTCCTCCAAAAATATGACTAGTTCCACCTGAAAGACGAAGTCAGAAACACCTGTTGCTTTCTGCTCATTTTCCCTCTCCTGCTGCTGCTTAAAAGAAGAGATTATTTCTCGTGCAATTATACCATTGATCGATAACTAAAGAAGTACTTTACCCCCATTTACGACTTCATCCAACTTGCATCGTAGCGTTCAGGCCGAGTATTATTAGACGAAGTTTTTAATTATCTCAAGTCCTAACGGACTTTTGCGAATAAACTACGCGGAACTTCCGATAGACGGTACGGAGCATGATATTAGCAAAAGTTTCACGTCTTTTAATATGCTACCAGTTCATTATAGAAAAAGTTAATCTCCACCGAGATTCACTAAGGATAAATGTTTCTTTACATCAACAGGTTTAAATTACCAATAACTACCTTCCTTTAACGTTTAGTTATTTGAAACCAGAGTGTGAAAAGTGGCTGTTATGACGTATTTGAACCACAAGGCAAATATGATTGAGAATCTCATGAACCTTAGTCTGGAGTTCCTTCTTTAGCAGCTGAGTCACTGTCTCTCAAGTATATAAATCTCAGAATATTTTGAACTAGTTACCGGTCGACATAGCCTAAAGGTTTAGACCATTGGTTAGCATTCGGGAGGACGGCTGTTCGATTCCGTGTCCGTCTGCCTTGGTCCAAGTTTTTCTGTGGTTTCCTTGGATCACTTAGGCGAATGTTGGGGAAGTAATATTCCACAGATAATCTTTTATTCTCTTATGTCTTTATTTCGTCCGTCTCATCTTTCTCACCCGAACCACCACCCACCCATTCCCACGATTCCTGAAAGGAGACTGAAGAGAGTCTTCCGCCATACCTTCCGGCGTAGTCCGCAGGGACTGCCCGCCAACCAGCACAACTGGCTGGAGGGAATGAAACACCCAAAAGTTTTTTTTTTTGAACTAGTTATACAGAAAATGATTCCCTGTTTCTGATAGATACCTGATAATCATAAATACATAATTCATAATGAAAAATATAGTATCAGAATAAGTATTTTCTAAATGGTTCCAAAAATCTCCCTCCCTGACAGGAATATTACGTAGGTAAATAATAAAAAAAAACGGAAGGAAATTAAATTTCTCTATTATTACTTGAAGCTTGTAATTTGTTTATGACATTTTGATTATGTTTACTTCCCTAAAAAACGCGCCCTTGTTCATTACAAAATCGTTTGTGTTGAAAGACAGTCTTGTAAATCAAATTGAAATTTCAAAGTCGTGTAAGTAATTAACTGATATTAATACAAGAAAAGCAACAAACTTACATTCCCCTTCGTCTAAATCGTTTGATAAAATAGTTAAGCGAAGGCTTATTTCGTTCGCGTGAACCGATAAACAAAATTTTGTTCACGAAATAGTCAGGAATGGAATGTAGAAAAAGGAAAAGAAATGTACACTGTATAACCATCATCATTACCATGGGGTAATTAAATCATCATTATCAGTCGTCAGATTGATTAGACACCTCGATTCTTTCGTATTTTGAGTCAATCTTCGCATTTCCCTAATTTTATTTGTGAACTGAAATGTGGCAGATCATTTCTCCAGCACTATACGCTCAAGTTCTGGTATTGTCCACCAGGCGGAAAAGCCTCTAACCATTTTCCTGAAGACAACGAAAGATGCCAAAGACAGAGAAGACATCACAGCCTTCATCCAGCCTCAGCTAGCCAATAGGACGTCAAAAATGCGTTTGCAGCTCTTGATAACTGCTACACCACATCCTTTCTTAATGACCTAACTTGTTGCTTAAAACCCTTTCTTCTCTCATCCCCGCCATCCTTATCCCACGAACTTACAAGCAATGAGCTTCTCCTATGTATCCTAACAACTCAGCAGGTAACATATTCTTTCATCAATCTTATGCACACAAAGAAACCACCCCTTTGTTACACAAAAAGAGAGATCCTACAAATAAACCGATACATTAACTCAATTACGAGGGTGGATTGATAAGTTTCCGGCCTGACCAAGAAAAACAAGGTTTTTAAAAATTTTTTTTTTTTATTTCTCAACATAATCTCCTCCAAGGCTGATACATTTCTCATAGCGGTGTTCCAGTCTATTAATGCCATCTCTATAGACTGATTCGTCAAGCTCCTCAAAATAACCATTTACAGCTTCGATTACTTCTTCATTGTCCGCAAATCTCTTACCGCCAAGCCATTTTTTGAGATTAGGGAACAGAAAATAGTCACTCGGGGCTAGGTCTGGAGAGTAAGGAGGGTGCGGCATCAATTCAAACTTTAGATCGTTGATTTTAGCCGTCGCAACGATTGACGTGTGCGCTGGTGCGTTATCGTGATGAAACAAGATTTTTTTCTTCGCCAGATGAGGTCGTTTAATTTTCACCTCGTGGCTCAAACGTTGCAATAAGTCTGCGTAGTATTGACCAGTGATAGTATTACCCTTTGCAAGGTAATCAATGTATATAATACCTCTTGCATCCCAAAAAACAGTAGCCATAACCTTGTTCGCCGAAAAAATTGTTTTTGCCTTCTTTGGAGTTGGTTCCCCTGGTCCAATCCACTGTTTAGACTGTTCTTTGGTTTCAGGAGTGTAGTGGTGGACCCACGTTTCGTCAACGGTTACGAATCGACGCAAAAATTCGCTTGGATTACGCTTATACAATGACAAATTTGCGGTAGAAATGTTTTTTCGAATCAATTTTTGGTCGACTGTTAGCAAACGCGGCACCCATCTTGCACAGAGCTTTTCCATATGCAAATGTTGGTGCAAAATATGTTGCACACGTTCATATGACATCTTACAGGTCTCAGCTATCTCACGCACTTTCAATCTGCGGTCTCCCAGCACTATTTGATGAATTTTTTCGATCATATCTGGAGTTGTGACCTCAACGGGGCGTCCTGAGCGAGGCCCATCAGAGGTGCTCACACGACCCTTTTTAAACTCGGAAACCCACTGCTTAACGGTTGAATATGACGGGGAGGATGTCCCCAGTGTTGAGTCCATCTCTTTTTTAATTTCCTTCGGCGTTAACCCCTTCAAATAAAAGTATTTGATGACAGCACGATTTTCCTGCTTTTCCATTTTTACGAAAACCACAGAGGCGTCTTGTTCAGCGTGCTGTCAAACCTACACTAGCAAGGAGATCGGGCTGAAACTATAGCTACAAGCTATCCAAGGATGGTACTATAGAATGTCACCTCAAGGTAGGCCTAGTGGCGTCATCTCTTGGTTAGGCCGGAAACTTATCAATCCACCCTCGTATTCAACTTTCTTCTCGCCTTCAGCACATACCTCGACATCCCATACCTTTACTCGACCTTACACCCTCGCCATAACTGGGTGGAGAGTACTGTAGTGACTCACTTTTCCTTCGTCATACACCTCGGTCCGTCAGGCGGTTAAATATTTTTGTTTTATACAAATACACCAAGATAAAATGAACCGACGTAGATACGAATTGTAGGAAGGACAAAACTAGGCATGGAATTATCACTTACCCTCAACTAAATCCTATACTGTATCTCCTGTAGCATCTGCAAAAGAAAAACATATTGTTAATTTGAATTTCTACTTATGATAGTTAATTTAACATAAACATTGATTGATTGTTATTTTAGTATTATTTAATAAAAAATACCGAGATTACTGCTAATTAATGAAATGAACCAAGTTTATGAAATCTGCATTCTTTACTTCAGGTTTCCCATAAGCACATTCACGATCATCATCATCAGCATCATTTATAACTAACCCTATCCAATAGTCTAATAACTGAAAATATATACGGATCAATATAATTTATTATAATTTTTCCAAACATGCAAATTATTTCGTTCTTGCTATAAAGTTAAAAGCTATTCAAATTAATAAAAGATTTCGATTACTTATTATTCCGCTAGTTAAAACGAATATGTTGACGCTAATATGATTTCTAATAGTCCCTGTAGAGAAATTTTCTATTTTAAATCCAAACGTTTTAGAAAGGCGCGTCTTATATCTTCACATCGTTTGAAATAATGATAGTTTTGTTACCAGTGAGCCAATTAAATGGGACTTTGTAACTGCGAGAGTCCCCTTTCAATCTCGGTTCTTCTTGAAACGTTCCCTTGCCAAACGAGATCAGAAGGTTAGTTTAATCTTTCAGGTTTCGAGTTCGCCTTGTTCCATGATAAACGAAATCTAAGATTCTCGGTTTAATATAGAAACCGAAGCAAAGAAAAAGGCATAGAGAGAGAGAGAATGATAGGGACAAAGACAGTTGCTGCTAATGCTCCTTCGGTGACAGAACCGAGTTTCAATTTTCAGTCAATATTGACTCTACCAAAGAAGCCAGGCAGAGAAGTTGCTTGCATGCCTCCTTACTTACTGCTTAACGTATCGCATTCCCATCTCATTCTGTCACATTCTAATCTTCCCATTCTTTCTTATTGCTGTTATTAAAAGCACGAAACGTTTTCAAACATGCTGCTGAGTAGACGAAATGGATAAAGTTGATTAGGATGCAAATTAAAGTTTATTGTGCCGACGCTTCAGTTATGAACTTACTAAGCCCTCATTTTGATACTCTGCGTACAGTCGATGTCAGGTGAACGTCAAAAAGGTTTTTTATAAAGGTAAAACTTAAAATTACAACGCATCCTTCAAAAACGTCGAGCTGGTCACTCATTAGCTTTAAGCTCTTTTATGATGTTGCATTCATCCATGAAATTATGTGGATGTCAATTCTTTAACTCTCAATCTTCTCAATCGGCCAAATCATTCCCATTTAATTAGTCTCATATTAACGCAGATGATGTTGCTATCACGGGAACGGGAAAGATAATTATAATAGTGTTTGCACCATGCATTCTTCTATCATCAGTAGATCATACATACATTGTACATTGCAAACAACATCATAATAGAATTAAGAGATCCGCTTAAATGATGTCCTTTGTCTCGATAAAACAAACTTCATACGTCCTCTTTCTGCCTTCATAAATTTTTGAGACAGCTCATTGTCTTTCAAGAACGTAAAGCTGATTCCCGTAAATGTGGATTATGCTTCATAGATGCAGGTTCAGGACTACATAATTTATTACCTTTAGCGTTTTTACTGCATTTGCATCTACTGAACAACGGGAACGAATAAGCAGAGAAATAATCTCCTTGTTTAAACAGCTAAAGAAGACATAATCCCAATAGATATCAGCAAATGTAAATTGCTAAAATGAATTATTACTGTTTATTAAAACAGAGGGTAACTGATGATCACATCTCGCAGTTGAAACCAGGTTTATCGAATATTTTAATGTTTATAATTTCATTCAGAATTACAGAACACATAAATATAGTGAATTACAACTTGCATGAGAGTAGCTAATAATATTTTCTAAATTAGGAAGTCATCAAACTCGCTTTAAACATCAAGTGGAGCATGCCGTGCTATTTTGCCGATCGAAATCGGTCTTGCACGCGCATGACGTCATTTCGAGTCGACATACAGAGCGAAGTTGCTGGGAGGAAATAAGTTCTAGTTGATGCCGAAAATGACGTCACGGAGAGATTGTAGATGCACAACAGCATATGAGTTTACCGTGAACCGGAGCTACCTATTTTTGAAAAAATTAAGTTCCTTATCAGATTTTATGTTCTTTAAAAGTGTAGTCGTCATAAAACAACAATTCTTACATGGTTAAACATCTCATAAGCAGAACATTCTGTTTTGATGTCACTGGCAAAAGGAAAAAAATAACTGGTAGAAATTCGTCGAGTAGAAAAGATTCCGATAACTACAAAAAATTCGCGTCATAAATTTCATGTGAAATGCCACTACATCTCTTTGAAATATACGACGACTCGGTGATAACATTCTCTGCTCCCACGACTACAAATAAGTTCTATAATTCAAAGGAAATGCGTGTTTCGCTTTCAGATCAGATACCCTCCTTCTATCTTATTACGGCAGCCACTTTGATTCTCATACCACACCATTCAACTTCTGAATAAACTTAGAGTTAATCTCATCAACAAATAAGAAAACGCGAACAAGAATAAAACTAATTGATCAAAAATCGATTTGTTATCTTCTCCATCAGTTCACTAATTTCTTATTAGAATACGATAATAAAATTATCAAATGACGATGATGATGAGGATGAGGATAATGAGCATGGGGATGAGCATGAGGATGAGCATGAGGATGACGATGACGATGACGATGACGATGACGATGACGATGACGATGACGATGACGATGACGACGACGACGACGATGACGATGACGATGACGATGTAAATGCAAAAAACGATTGAAAATTCTCATGGTATAAGATGCTTATGGAAGATTCATTCAGATCATAATATCAAAAGAATGAACTCTATCTGGACCTTCATGGATTAAAATTTCTCTACTGACCGAATTTATACTTGATAACTACATTATCCCAAACAAAAACTCCATCAAAATTACACAGAAAATGAAGAAACAATATGGTAAACCGCCACAATTCCTCCCCAAAATGTGACGTTTGAAATGGATAACTGAGTTTAAAGATATGTTGACGTCGAAAAACTCAATTTTTGTAGCATTAGATCGTGCGAACGAAAGATTTGCATTGCTAATTTGCGAAATGTTGGTTTTGGTGGTTAAAGTTTCAAAGTTCGCAGCTGATTCGATTTAAAACCACTAATGCGTGTTTAATTGGAACTTGTATTCGCATTTGGACGTGTGAACAAAAATACAGCAAATGAAAACGCCTAATTGGTCCATCAGGCGTTTCCTAATTCGTAGTTTCACACGATATTTCTATTATTAAAGAGAAAAAAACCAAAAACATTTTGCCACCGCTGTAAATAATTCAAATTATATCCGTTTCTTCGTTTCGTACAGAGGATGATAGAATAAATGGATGTCAGAGTCATCTCTCACATCGATAAATGATATCAAATCGATCGAAAAACAAAGATCTTTTTGATATTATTCGATATAACAGAATGTACAAATCAGTGAGTTATTGGCATTGAAATTTGTCCATTTATTCTGTCTGTCAACCTCTGTATTTTTCGAAGAAGGAAATTAACTTTATCGAAAATCCATAGCAGCGGTTACCATTTGAAGAGTTTTCTCAAACGCCACTTCCGAATTATTCAAGTCATGCTTCGATTCCAGGACGTAAAAGTTAGGTTTATGAAGATTTAATCAAAGGAATCGACTGCGCTGTTCGGATACACTTTCAACGGAATTTTTGTGTTTCAATATTAACTTTATGTTAAATTTGAAACCTTTGAGTTAGGTTTACTTTGAACTTCATCTAGTGGCCTGCCTGAGTTAATTAACCCGAACGCAAATTGCTAGGCTTGCGGTTGAAAATTATTTATAAAAACATATACAACTCAAAAAATCTCTCATAAACTAGTACATAAAAGCAATAGTTCTCTCTATATGTAAGCTCGGGCTACCACTTTTCTCGCGGTTCATTCGTATCAATTCAATCAGATCAACCATTTTGATCTTGTATATTCACATCAAACATTGACAATAACATTACAAATTTAAAGTTCATGGTTCAATACAGTAAGTAGTATTGTCAGAGACAAGTATAATTTATACAAATACTTCGCTCAAACGACTGGCATTCACAAATGCCTTGGGGCTTGGAGAATCAATGAGCTGTAACGTAATATCGATTACGGTGAAAGTTGAGTACACAATGTGACTTGTTTTCGTTAAAATAGGTAATAAATAACCGTCTCTTGTAGCCGTGATCGTCTAGTGGTTAGGACCCTACGTTGTGGCCGTAGTAACCCAGGTTCGAATCCTGGTCACGGCAACGTTCTCGAAACGTTGTCACAGAAGAGACAATTTTTTAATTTTTTTTTAATTTGAGCTCTATCCTAAAATTATGATCAAGTAGGTACGCTTAAGCAAATATAACTGGCTTTTGAACAGATGCTTTTTGAATTCCACTCATAATTGATTTGGTCGTTAATTTCTATCCAATTCTTTTAGGTTTGGTTATAATATCTTTTTAAAATAATTTGATGATGATAGCGTGGATAGAGAAGGTTAGAAATGAAGAGGTATTAGAAATAATAGGAGACCAGAGGACTCTATGGAAGTCAATAAAAAATAGGCGAGATAGGTAGGTAGGACACCTTGTCACGCATGAAGGTCTAGTCAGAGACATATTAGAGACAGTGTTAAGATGAGAAGATTAGCTCAGAATAGGAAGGAGTGGAGATGCGTGTCCAACCAGTCTTATAACTGACGACCTTATGATGATGATGACTGTAAATATTTGAAACACTTCTGAGATGTTAGTTCAGAATTTCGGAGGCAATTACGTTAGACGCTATTGCTTTATGATTTCCCACAAATAGTCGCTCAAGAGTTTGACATTCACAAATACCTTTAAGCATTATATAAACAATGAGCTATGACGTATCGATAGCGGTGAAAGTTGACTACACAATTTTACTAATTTTCGGTAAAATAAACGAATAATAACCGTCACTTGTAGCCGTGATCGTCTAGTGGTTAGGACCCTACGTT